CAGGGCTGTCCTGGCACATGGCTGGGACCTTAGACTGTGTGGTAAAGGGCAAACCTGTTGGCTCATTTACTTAAAAATAAGCAGGCAAGGCGTCTGAGGGCCCTCTGGGTGGGACTGCGGCGGCAGAACTGTGGCCCCTCAGATGGGCAATCACAGGGCGGAGGCCGCATGGTCTGGCCCGGAAATGGAGGTGCTGAGGGATGCAGGGGCAGCCTGGATGCTGCTGCATCTCCCTCAGAGCCAGAAGCCCCCACTGCTGCCCCTGGCCCCCATGCTGGAGCTCAGACCTCCAGGACTATCCTCCTGACGCCTAGGAGCGCAGGCCACGGACACTGCTCCATCTGACCAGCCTAGGGATGCACAGCTGCCCGAGTACCCGGCCAGCCCCAGCAGCCCAGGCCCACGCAGAGCCCCTCTCTGGTGTCTCTCCTCCTCAGACACCACACCCACTCCCTGCACCAGCCGAATGAGGGTTGTGGCCTAGCCACCAGTGGAGAGAGGCCGTCACAGCCCCTTGCCAACGGTGGGCTAGGGCTAAGGCAACACGATGAGACCAAGCAGGCAGGGAACTTGCTGTCTTCGTATGACACATCCCAACACACAGCTCGTTTTGGTTGGTTTGTTTTTGCTTGTTTGAGACAAGAACTCACTATGTAGCTCAGACTGGCCTTGAATTTGGGGTGATCCTCCTGCCTCAGGCTCCTCGGGATTACAGGTTGAAAGCCAGAGAGCCCTGGGCAGAGCTAGGGGGCAGAGCGGGGACCTCTCCATCAGCTCCGCTTCCCCATGAGTGGAAGGTAATCTGGAGCTGCTGGGCCGCCCACACTCCTTTCTGGGGCCCTTGTCTGCACAAACTACCTGGGGTCCTATCACCTGCCATCTCCCTGTGAATTAAATAAGTTTGCTTCTCCAGGAAGTGACAGATCACTGCCCACACAAAAAAACCACAGCATTCGCTCAAAATATGAAGTAGAACATAAGGACAAAGCGTGGCCATTGGAGACTCAAAGAGGTCTTGTGGGAGACCAGAGGCTGGCAGGACTGGGGCCTCCAGAAACCACCACTGCTGTGCCACTGTCCTGCCTGGGCAGCAAGGCCAGAGGGGCAGGGGGACGTTCTCATGCTGTGACTTGGCTCCTCTGAGGCCACCAGCTCAGGAGGGGGCATGACACTACCGCACATCCCTTCCTCACCCAGGCTGGGCACCTGCCCCTGCCTGCTCCTGCTCTGAGTCACTTCACCTTAACCTTAGCCACAGGAGAGGAAACTGAGGCACAGGGAGGCACCCACCTGTCCCAGTGAAGGCTGAGCCTGCTGGAACCTGGGAGAAGCACCATACTCCAGAGATGCAGGGGTCCGGTGGGCAGGGTCATGCCTCCAAGGACATTTCTAGTGTCACAGTGGCTAAGTGCAGGGTGGGATGGGGGCAGAAGCTGCGCCGTACCCTACAGTGACTGACGGCCACAGCCTGGGTTGCCCAGTGACATCCACAGTGCAAGGTCCAGAGCCTGGCCCCAGCCCATCAGCACAGAGGACAGGGGCCACCCAGCTCTGGGGAGGTCCTGAAACCTTGGTCTCCTCCTCCACCAATCAGCAGCATCACCTTCCCAGATGCACGGGGGTCCCAGCAAATCCCAGGATGCCCAGCACCTCCAGGTTACTCACACTTGCCAGGGGCTGGGGACACAGTGACACCCTTCTGGTGGCAGGCCCTAGAAGAGCAGGGTGGGCCCTGCCACTGCAGACACCTCACACACACCTGTCCTTCCCCAGCCAGTGCAGAGCCTCTGCACACAAAGATGCCCCCCTTTTGTGGCTTCCACCTCCCCTTGCTTATGCTATACCCCCAGGACATCAGGGGGCCTTGACTCCTCTGGTGTGGAGGCCCTGGGCTCAGCTTTGCAGAGTCCATGTAGCTGTGATGTGAAAACTACCCATTGTGCAGCGCTGGGGGCTTCCCAGAGGAGGAAGCGGTGGAGCAGCTGGGAGGCCCGGGCCTCCGCACCATCGCAAGACAGCATGGCTCTCACACCTCTCAAACAGCCCTGAAAACATCTCTGCTTCCTGTGGTGAGTGGAGCTGGGGGCCAGACCAGGCCCCGACACCCAGCAAGCACCATGCTGAACAAGGAGCTGTGTCCAGCCCCATCTTCAGGGCATCCTGGGGGACATCTGCACAGAGACAGCACTGCATTTCCAGCCACTCCAGAACACCAGCACAAGACCCACAGGCTGAGAGCCAGACAGGGGTGTGGTCAGCCAGCCATGCCGACCCATCCCCTTCAGCTGCGTGGACACTGGGCACGAACACAGCGAGGAGCGGCACCAGCCCCGTGTCCCCAGCTACATGTAGCGCAGAGGAGGTGGAGGAGGAGCCCAGCCAAACCCAACGCATCTTCCCTACAAGGGAGTGAACTGGGGCGAGGCCAGCAGAGGCCAAGAGGGAGGGAGCCTAACCCTCACAGCAGGTGTCCCCTTCCTGCAGTCCCAGGCTACAAGGATAGAACTAGCCTCCGTCCTCGAGGGCTACACATTCCAGAAACAGCCTTGGCTAGGTGGTGATGGGACACGGGGTCAGCATTGTGTCCTCCCTGCACTCCTCACCTCCTGGCCTTTGTCCTGCTGCGGCCAGGCCTTGGCTGTGGCCGCTCACACTGCCTGGAGGGAGGTCCTGGCTCCAGCCCATGTCCCTCTTACCCTGCCCCCCCCATCTGCCATCACTGGCTCTGTGGTCTAGAGAAGCATCAGCTCCCTCAGATGCCTGTGAGTGTCAGGCTGGCCCTCGGCCCTCGGGAGACCTGGGGTGGGGCGGGCACAACGGGCAGCTAGGGGGACATGGAGCTGAGGCGCAGGGTCTTCAAGTGGGCAGACAGAGGCTGCCACCCCCGGACCTCAGCATCCCTCTTGGCTGGCCCTCAGGAGGTCTTTGTCACTGCACGAAGTTCCTCTGAATAGGTGCCACCCCCAACTTGTCAGGCAGGCCCTGCCCCTCGGCCCCGCCCGGTTCCGACCAAGTGTGGCTGGGTGAATCAGGGTCACCAAGCTGGCTCTGTGCCCGGTGGGGGGGGGGGGTGGTCCCTGTGAGTCTGCTACCTGGGGCTGCTGGGCAGTAGGGGGCGCATGAGTCCTCTGGCGCATCGTGTGATTCCTTCCACCTGCCCGATGCCCACAGCCATGGGCGCAAGGACGACGGTGAGCTCGGGGACAGAGGGGGAGGCCTCACAGAGCTGTTCTTCCCACCACCTGCAGAGCCACCCAGGCTCCCACCCAGGCACGGGGTTCCAGGATGCTGCTGCACCTGGCCATGAGCAATGAATCAGGAGCAAACCTCCGAGTCCCAGGGCTCCTAGCTGCACCAAGGCTGGAGTGACTCTGGGTGCGGGGTGGGGATGCGACCTGCCCACTACACCTCAGGCTGCACGCGGCCAGTTGGGAAGGCCACCCCAGCCCAGAGTGTTTCAGGAGTAGGAGCGGGCAGGGCGGGGAAGATGTAAGTGACCCCTCAGCTCACCTGGATCTCTCTCCTGTCTACACTCAGCTGATTAGGGTCTGGCAAAACTTCTAGGAACCTATCATACCTTTCTGGGACTACAATAGATCAGGCTGGGATGAAGCCAGCAGGCTGCCTCCTCCAAGAAGCCCTCGGGCTTTCCTATGCCCCTCGCACAGACAGCCTGTGTCAACTCACAGCAGGCAGGAGGCTTTGGCATGCACCAGGGGAACAGATCAGGAAGGGACTGTGGAGCCTCAGCACAGCGTGGAGCACAAAGAGGATGGAGAGGCAGCAAGGGAGGGTGGGGCCGGGAGGGCCACCTGGAAGCCAGGCTGTGAGAGGGGCTCAGGGCCCGGCTCCTCCTCTCCCAGAAAGCGATGCCAGGGCTGCCACGTGTTACACAACCCCGCATACTGCCAGTGCTTTTATATAACCCTCGTCTCCCACAGAACAGACCCTTTCGCCTGGCGAGACACCCGTGGCTGCACTACCCTCCAGGGGCTCCCAGCCCAACGTGCGCACTGGCTCCCACTAGGCTTCTCTCCTCTCCTCTTCTGTCCCAGAGCCCCAGTGCCGCAGAGCCTTGGGAGGATCTAGGGGCTAGGGTGCTGTGCCTGCCCCGCAGCTGGGAGGGTGCCCGTGCCCTCAGGGCGCCCAAGGCTGGACTGCAACCCCACCTCACAGGACAGGTTCCTGCCATGGCCCTGCCACCCTCACGGCACACAGAGCTGCCCACCGGCCCTGGCCTGCACCTGTGCTTCCTACAAAAGGCTGCTGGCCCAAGCTGGTCAGACAAAAGCTCTGGGGCCAGGCACTCAGCCTTCCCTGTTCTTGGGCACAGCAGCAAGGGCAGTGGTCACCCTTCTGCAGGACGGCCCATGATTCCAGGGGGTGGGGCACTGTTCCCAGCACTGCAGCCCTTGCAGGACCTCCCTGGACATTAGCACTGATGCCCCCACTTCACGTTCCTGGGGGGACAGAGACCACAACTCTGTCCATGCAGGCAGCCAGCCCTGTCCAGACCAGCTATGCACCTCAGGCTCCTCCCACAGCAAAACTTCCCGACTCTGTGGAGGCGTCCCTGGATACATGGTCTGCCACAGGATGCGCTGCGGGCCCTTGATGCACTGTGCCCAGGCATGCGCGGCTGCCCCTCCTCCCTTATCCTCAGGGAAGGACAGTGAATCCCGCAAGCTGTGCTGCCCACAGAGCCCTGTCAGCCCTCGCTCCTTTGGGTGCCACTTGCCCCTCGGTGGTCCCAAGAGCCAAGAGCTGCTTAGAAGTTTCAGAGTCCTCAGGGGTGCAAGTTTAGCATCATCATGGGGAGGTGGGGGCTGCTGCCAAGTGTCCCCAGTAGTGAATGAAGGAGCTGTCCCCAGGCAGTGTCCTCTGCCGGAGGAAGTAAGGGGAGCCCTCTCCTTTGCCTACCACCTCCACGGTCCCCTCCCAAGGACGCTGGGGGCTTCCTCCTCAGCGGGAAGAAGTCCCCAGTCCCCATCCCAGCTCACCGTTAAGCTGGTTGTAGACTACCTCCTCCAGGTGGTCCAGGCGCTGCAGGATGGCCTCGCGGTCCGCCAGCGCTCCAGCCTTGCCAAGCCGGTTGCGCACCCGGCGGTCGGCGGCACGCACGACCTGCACCAGCGCCTCGGAGCGGGCCTGCAGGCGGCAGTACACGGAGAACAGCACAATGGCCACGAACACCAGGATGTTAACCGTCAGCAAAGTTTTGATCCTCCTGGCCACCGCCATGGGCGCGGCGCGGCCGGGGCCGCCTCCCCGCGGGGCCTGGGGGGGCCCGGGGCGCGGGAGTCTGTGCGCGGCCGGCCGCGGACATGGGGGGCGCGGGCGCTGTCCCTCAGCACCACGGAGCCGGCTCCGGGGCACGCAAGGGACGGGCGGAGTGGGGGGCGCGGGAGGCCGTGAGCATCGCGGTACGGGGGAGGGCTGGGCGCCGCAGCCCGAGGCCAAGAGATCGATCCTTCGCGCTCTCCGTGTTCCGCCAGTGCTGCCCCGCCCGCCCGCACCGGTGCGCAGTGACGCGGCCTCCTCCGCAGGCGCCGAGCCCGCCTCCCGGCGCCGGTGCCTTGCGTCCCGGCCGCCTCGGTCCCGGCCGGTGGAGCGGGAGGAGCTGGAGACACGGGGAGGAGCCTCAGGGTCCTCTACGCCCGTGCGCGCTGGCAGGTGGGGGCCTTCGTGCACGCAAGCCGCCTGCCCTCCCCCTGCCGGGCCCCCTGGGGGCCCAGGAACCTACTGTATGCCCGCCCAGCCCCAGACCCCAGGGATGACCCCCTGCAGCTCCCAAGTCCTGTGCCCAGCCCGGAAAGATGGGAGCTGCCCTCCCTGGTCTGGCCCCAAGCTGGCGTTTTATACCGACCACTGGATTCTAGAGAGGGCAGAAGGAAGGCCCGAGCCACACAGCAGCCGGTGAATCTGGGCGGGAGTGAGTCTCTGTCCGCCCCCTCACCCCTCTCTCCTCAGGGCCCGCCATGGTTTCTGACATGTAGTTGGTGCTCAGTAAATATTTGTAGTGAATAAACAATGGCACGTTTTTAGGTCACTTTGTGCTGAGTCCTTGACACACGAAGTGAGCAAGACACTGTCCCCAGCTTGGCAGCTCTTGGCTGTGTGTGCATCTGTGTCTGCATGAGTGTGGGTGGGTGTGAGCGCCACGTCTGTGCATGTGTGTCTGTCCACGGTCCACGTGGCTGCACAGTATCCGTGCATGCATGCACCTCTCCGTGTGCGTGTGTTTCTGCGACTGCACTTATCTTTGCATTCAGGTGTCTGTTTCTTCCAGGTGTGCATGCATTCGTGTGCACACATGGCCCTTTACATGCGCCCTCCGTGTGTCTGCATGTGCCTGTTGTTTCCATGTCTGTGTGTCCCCCACATGTATGTGCAGGTATCACGTATGTGTGCACGAGTGCATGCTGCCACGCATATGGTCTCTGAGTGCATTGCGTCAGCCTGCGTCTGCGTGTGTGCATGTCATGTGCATGTGTATCCATGTGCACCTTTGCCCATGTCTCAGTGCGCACTGTGTCGGGGGCCTGCCCCTCAGCTCAGTTCTTTAAGCGGCTGCTTCAACAAAGCAGTCAGGCTCAGGTTGCTGTGGTTCAAGCCCCACAACTCAAGCCAGCCAAACTTGCCCTGAAGGCATTGGGAGCCAAAAAAAATTCTTCAGTGTGCACCGTGTTTGTGTGTGTGTGCTCTCTGTGCTGTCACATGTTCTCTGTGTGTGCAAGTGTCCATGTGCACAGGCACGTGTGTGTGTGACTGGGGGGGCTTCTGGGATTCTGGCTCCAAGGCCAGTGTGCTCTTCTTCAACATATGCTTCCTGGCTCCACCATGCCAACCTCCCTGCTGGGAGATTTTCTGCCCCAGCCCCCATGCTGGGAGTGCTGAGAGCCCCGCCTCCCCTTTCCCGGCTGAGGCTGCCTCTTATCAGCTCTGTTGCCTGCTACCCGGAAGGACCGCTGCTGGGTTTAGGCCAGCCCCCAGGCACTGTCTAGACGGAAGCCAGGGCTGTGCCTCCTTGTCAGCCGGGAGACACAGGCCTCTTTTTGATAAATGCCCACTCCAAGTCCCCTTCGGAAAGACTGTGGCCTCTGCACATACAACACTAGTTCTGTGCAGCTTCCCAGCCCTGGTGTCGCAGTGCAGAGCCCAGCCATGCTGTGCCGGGCTTTTGGGGTCCTAGCCTGCAAGACTGCCAGTGACTGATTCCAACAGCATCTGCATGGAGACAGACAGCTCTGCCAGCTCTCCCCCCAGAGAAACTGAGGCAGCAAGGAGCACAAGTCCCAGCTCAAGGTCACACTGATGGCAAAGCTGAGTCTGGGATTGAAGCCCAGACCATTTGGCTCCAGAATCCAATTTATCAACCACTTGAGAAAAAACCCAAGTGCTTTTCATTATATGATTGTTGAAATTAATGCTCGCGTGCTTTGAGGGAGGAAGCATTCTTCCATCCCTGTGAGCACACTGTGCTGGGCTCGATAGGCAGCAAGGAGTGCTGCGTTCCAGACGAGTGTTGGTGTCTGGCGAAATCCCACCGCAAACACAGTGTCCCCTTGGGCCGAGGCCGGCCAGGTGCTGCCAGGGGTGCACGCCCATCCTGGGGGCTGCAGAGGCACTGGACTACACGTCCTCTTACCTGACCTCAGGACAGCACCTGGGGCGGCTGGCGGTGCCCACTGCATCCCACCTCCCAGTTCCAGCTCGCCTCACTGTGGCTGTCTGGTGACTTTTCCAGCTGGCCTGAGACCTTGGCCCATAGTGCTGAGGGCTGGTGTAGGGATATCACAGGGACAAGACAGAACCAGCCCCTCACTAGAAACTGAGAGGGCAGCCACAGCAGATGGGCACCAGGATTCAAACTGCACCAGGGGAGGGAGATGGTGGCTTCCCACTTGGTATCGAGAGGTTGAGCCCTGATGTCACACAGGTTAGCATGGATGCACTTTAAGCTGGCCCTGGCTCTTCCCTTGGGCCACTGATGGAACTTGGAAGTTGGTCACTAAAGTGGCTCTCATCTCTATCACAGGGGCATCTTATTCACAGTTTGCCCTGGACACAAGGCATGCTGGATGTGACAACCAGGTGTGACAGCAGAGAGCAGGGCTGCGCCATGTGACAGAGGGCTTCCCAGATCCAGTCACTTCTCTTCTGTGTTCCATGTCCCTACCCCCTAGTGGCATCTGAAGTCAGTCAGAGAGCTCTTCAGGGCTGTGCCCAGGGAGACCTTACAGGACAGTCGAGAGGTGGTCATTGTCACCGTCTCTGGGTGAGGCTCACTGGTTCCCCTACAGATGTGAGTCGGGATGCACCGTGTGAACCACTGTGCCTGTGTGGAGCAATGCATTCTGCCCCATGCTGGCAGAGGGGACCCTGACACCGGTTACCTACACTGTTTAGAGCTGCAGCTGCAGCTTCCTGGTGGGACTGGATTGGTGTTGAGTAGGGACCAGCATGGTCATCTCACAGCAGAGAAATTGAGGCACAGCAGCAGCGTGGAGCTGGGTTTGGGCCTAATTCAGGGAAAGGTGAGTCCTGGGGCATCAGCCTCTCGGCACAGGGGCCCCTGGGAATTAGTTATGGGTGGGGACAGAGCTGTGGACCCCCATCTCCTAGACACTGGCCAGGGATCAGCTGTGCAGGCTGATCTACAGAAAGCTAACAATGGCCCCAGGACATGGTCCAGAGATGGGACTAACATGCCCTGAACCCCAACTCTGGCCTCAAACCCCATCCACACCCCAGGCTGATGATGGTGGGATTGCAGAGTCTGCAGGGACACCCAGGGGTCCTTGTTCACTGTGGAGCCTATAGGTGGCCCCCAAACCATGGACCCAGCAGGTGAGCACTTGGTCCCCAGGCAGGTGACCCAGCTCGAAGTGTGCTAGGAGATGGGAGAGGCACAGTCACAGGCCAGGAGGAGGTAGAGCCCTAGGGCCAGGGGTGGGTGGCAGCCAGGAACGTAAGGAGTGAGAGAGACAGAGACACAAGGAGAAAGAGACACGGAGACCAGAGAGACACAGGGAGACAGAGACAGGGAGACAGGGACAAAGAGACAGAGACATAGGGAGACAGAGACACAGAGAGACATAGGGAGACACAGAGAGATGGAGACACAGTGACGGCACAAAGGTCTCTGTGGCTCTTCTGGACCTGCAGCTAGACACTGCCCCTCCTGCTGCCTCACCCTGGGAGGCGGGGGAGCCTCCACACACCTCTCATTCACAGAGGCGCTGCCTGGGTTGGTGAGGGTGGGACAAGGGGGTGCAGGCTCAGTGCCCCAAGTCAGCTGGAGATGGTGGTGCTGGGCCGGGGAGATGGCTCAGTGGAATAAGCGCTTCCTTGGCAAGCACAAGGGCTTGAGTTCAATCCCTGGTTTTGCAAAAAAAAAAAAAAAAGGAGATGGTGGCGCTGGGCCCTGCTGAATCAAAGTGGGCCCAGTCTTTGAAGGAGCCGCCTCTTAGGAGCAGGAGGAGACCAAGACTGGAGAACACTTTGATTTTCTCCTCATGGAGTTGCTCAGAACGCGCAGCAGCTTTTCTGTGGAGGAAAGAATGGTCTCGAAGTCCTTCTATGCCCACCTCCCGAGGCCGGGGTCGGTGGTGCCTGGTCTCCCTGGGCTCTCGGAAACTGGTGTGACCAGACATGTGCCCTGTGCTTTCGGAGACCACCGCTCCCCAGGGCACGAGTCCAGCCCACAGACACTGTCCCGACTCCGCAGGAGCAGCAGGAGCAGGCACGACGGTGACTACACCTCCCAGCCCTGAGGGCGCTGGCTCCACCCTCCCATGTGACGGCTGGAGCCCTGGCCACTCCTGCCCAGGCCAACGAATTAGGGCGAACGCTGGTGAGCAGCAGCAGCGGTGGTAGCACGGGGCTGTGGAGTTCACCCGGTGCCATGGGGGGGGGGGGGGGGCTGTGGCTTAGGGTTAGGGTTAGGGCTGCTCCTTCTGGCTCAGCCAGAAGGCAGCAGAGGACTGCGCAACACTACCCCTCCATGAGACGGGGCGAACCCGGGACCCCTCACCCCGGCGCTCAGAGTGTGGCTCGTGACCCAGGGTGGGCATTGCGGGGCCTGCCCCACCCCTATGGAGACACTGTCTGGCTTGGGGTTCCGGATCAGCCCCGCTGAGCTCCTCACTGCCCCGGGTGGCTCCACCCCTGGCTCAGGGCCAATCAGAATGCTCCATTTCCTTGGCCAAGGGATTGGCTCAGAGATGGACACCTGACCGGGCCAGGCCAATGGGATCTGGTCTGCGGGCTCTCTCGCTGTCCTTGGTGCTGACCGATTCCTCCCTCCCTCGCCTGCGTGAGTCATCGCTGGGAGTGGGACGCTTGTGCCGTGGTGTCCTGT